TGTTATAAAAGATTAGTCATGTAGCATGCTGTTAGTTCTTTCTTATATTTAATTATTGTTTATTCAGGTATCAAGCGGATCAATAAAAAAGTTTTCAGATCATTAAAGGTGGATGAAAATGGAGATTATCATGACTGGGAAGACAGAGATGAAACTAAAGACCATGATATCAGAGAAAAAGATAGGCATGATAGAGGTCTTGCTTTTAACTCTAAAGATGTCCCAGGACAGAAGATTCCATGCACAAGCAAAGATAAGTCTATGGCAAAACCCATTCATGAACTTGATCTCTCTGAATTCCAGAGCTGCACTCCAAGTTATCGGCTTCTACCAGAAAATGTATGTCTCTTATTTAATTTTCAATATTTAGCAATAATAGGCATTCTACTCAATCAACTTTGCTCTTCTTCTACTCAGTATCCAATCCCATTAGCAAGCAGGAGAACAGAGATCGGCAACCAAGTGCTGAATGATCGCTGGGTGTCGGTTACTTCAGGAAGTGAGGATCACTCATTCAAACACATGCACAAAAATCAATATGAAGAAACTATGTTCCAGTGTGAGGATGACCGGTAAATTCTCCAAACTTTTACAGGAGTTTTTTTTTTTCCTTTGAATTAATCCCTTGTTTTGATGGAGCTCCTCTCTCTTCATCTCTCTCTAACTTGTTCTAACTCTACCATCTTTAGGGTAAGTATTACTTCATCTTTAGATACTAAATTTTCTTCAAATATTACTTTCCCCGATACTTAATCCATAGGTTGCAAAGGAGCTTCTTTCCTCCATTTTCTTTTTTTCCCCCCAATAAATGGAGACTAAATGGGGTTTATGGTATTCCTATACATCAGAATTTGGCAATTAATGATCTTATTGTGATTTTAGGTTTGAACTTGACATGCTATTGGAATCTGTGAATGCGACAGTGAAGCATGTTGAAGAACTTCTGGACAGAATGAATGCTCACACTACTAAGGCAGACAGTTCATTTAATATTGAAGAATGTTTGTCAGGTATAGTGAGTTTCTGATGATTCCTCATAGAATATATCCTGCTGTCTTGTTAATAGCAATCTTTTTTCCAGCCCTTAGCCTAAGGTGTATTGAGCGTTTATATGGTGACCATGGGCTTGATGTGATGGATTTATTGAGGAAGAATGCACCTGCAGCACTGCCAGTCATTTTAACTAGGTTGAAGCAGAAACAGGAAGAATTGGCTAGGTGTCGTGCTGATTTTAATAAAGTTTGGGCTGGTATTTATGCTAAGAACTATCCTAAATCACTCGATCATAGGAGCTTCTATTTTAAGCAGCAGGATACAAAGAACTTGAGCGCTAAAGGTAATCAGTCTGATAATGTTTAACATGGTTCCTGTCTCAATGTATTTGTCATGTTTTTAACATTCCAGAACAACGAGTAATTATTACTCATGTAATAATCTGAACCAAATTTTGGATTTTTAAGAGATTGTAGTACTGAAGATTGTTTCTACAATGTGTGCAGTCTATGCATGGCACAGAAAATTGCATGTACTTTATCTTTTGAATGCAAACATATGCTGCTTTACATTAGGCAACGCCTTGTGCGGATGAAATTTCTGTGCATACTTTTCTCTTTCTAATAATAGGAGTGACCGTCCTTTTTCTTTTTTAGCTTGCAAGATATTCTTATCCTTAAGGACTGGTCATTATATTGTATGGTATATTTGTGTGTGTCGCAGTTTGTAGCTTTTGCGTTGTAACTTATGAGAAATGTTTTTCTGTGTCATCTGTAAACTTGGTCAAAACTCACTTTACTAGCTTCTTCATTATGCTAGCTGGAAGTTTAGTGTTAATTGGTGGTGAAGATTATGGGATAAGTTTTTCCTTATAAGATAGGGTGCATAATGAGTCTAGGCACGGAATTTGTTACATAGACTTGAGTTAACATGTCCTATATTTAGGTTAATTTGAAAAATATGGTGCCCTACTTTGACTGAAACTGGAGACCTCCTTAGTCGGGAATTATACAAGACCAATATAATGATGTGTAATTTTGAGTCTCCATGAATTGCATTAAATTGGTCAATATTTTCCTTGCTTTTGTGGATGTGTTGTTATTGGAATTTTTTTTGTTTCCTTTCGAAATTTTGTACTGTGTATATTGGAAGTCTTTGAAATTTCTGACATCCGTTGGGTATATTTCATTCATCTCGTGCCGTGTGAGTTTTTGTTTGTGATGGAGTCAATTTTCCATGTCTTAAAGTTGGTCAGACTCACTTTTTGTGAATTTGTGCTAAAAGGTGTAAGTGTTCATTGTTGGTGAGGATATTTGGTTGTTTAGTGTGACTCGCTGCCCTATGATATAGCCAACTCCGAATACGTTATTTTCCCCTTTTTGTACTTTAGATATTAATTATATTTTACCTTTTCGATTGCAGTTACACTCTATTCTTTAGTTTTTGTCGTCTTATGTGAATTTTGCCTTATATATTTCACCTTCATTCCTTGTTTTCGTCGCTTCATTATTCTTCCACCACCCTCTCCTTCTCTACCATATCTCACAATCTTCTTCTTATCTCACCTTCTGCTTGCATTTCATGGCAACTTCATCATTCATAAGCACTAATTTCTCTAGTTCAGGTATTTTTGGTACATTTAGTATCTTCCATCTTCCAACTGCCTTCCTTTTTGGTTTTACTCGTGAATTCATCCAGCATTGCTTTTATTTTAGACTTAAAGGGAGCTCCTTTTCTAAATTAGTTGATGAAAGTTTATTTTCCTTAAATTTAATCACAAGTCACAAAAGTAAAATGTTTCGACGGATAAATATTTTAAGTTTTGAAGGCGATGAGCTTCTTTGAGGGATGATTGTTACCTACTTAATTTTTTAAGCCAGAAAACTTTGTGGTAATTTAGCAATAATTTTGTTTAGATGGCTAACCTTAATCAAAGATAATGTACTACTTTGACGTTAGATTTTGTGCAGTTTAAAAATATTATCAAAATTTTAATAATGATACGTTTTTGTTTGTGCGTGCGCGTGTGTATTGTTCGTTTCCTTTCTTTTTCTTGCCTTTTCCCCCCTTCTCTTGGTCACCTTCAGTAAAATGGCCGAAAGATTGGAAAGGAATTTTGTGATAGATAGATCAATTGAGCAGAAATGAGATAGCAATTGGTCTAATCATGCATGCATTTTCTTAGATCATGTCATGGATTAGTCTTGCATCCATTGTTTTCCTTTTTAACTTACATAATTTAATCAGAAATGCTTGTTAGGCATTTATTCATTTATTCGATGTGATGTGACTAATAAATGTGAAAAAGACTCTTGATAGATATTTTGATAGACCTGGGTAGATCATATATATTTAAACGGTTTTTGAACGATTGGGTAGGATTGAAGTTGTTAACGATAGTGCTCCAACCTTGCTTGATTTTTCCTAAAATGTTAACGAATATGTAAAACATTTGCATCAAGAAATTGTTCTCAATATGTAGAAAGAAGATAATTTCATTTTGCATTTCTCTTTCAGGCTATGTAATTGTTATTTCTCCAATTGCTGTAATTTCTTTTTATATATACCACCTACATGCTAATTTGTCACTCTTTGGCTCTTCGTATGTGTAAAGCTCCTGATATTGATTTATTTGTTTTCACGTCCACATTTGGGATTTTCTGTCATAATTCCTTATAAATGGAAAGTTATACATGGAGACACAAATCTGCATAAGAGTGTTTCTTTGGTAGGCTTGTGAATTCAATTCTATATCATTATTGGTATGTACCATCTTAGCTGTCATTTTCGTTTGTGACATCCTTAATCCGATTCATTAAACCTGGTGTTGTGTTGGTCCGGATTTTTTAATTTTCCCACATTAGAAGAGATTGTGTCAAATATATACAATATTTGTCCTGTTTGGTTTCTCTTACGTTCGATCAAAAAGGAATAATTGCTCACTGACCATGTATTCTCTTTTACGATTTCATTTTTCAGCAATGCTTGCCGAGATAAAAGAAATGGCCAAAAAGAACCAGAATGAAGACGAAAGCTTCCTTGCCTCGATTGCTGCTGGTTATAAACAGTCAATTAAACCTGATATGGTATTCGAGTATCCGGATCCAGAAATCCAAGAAGATCTTCATCAGCTGATAAAATATTCTTGTGGGGAAGTTTGTACCCCTGAACAGCGTGACAATGTCATGAAGGTGTGGACAACTTTTCTCGAGCAAGTGATGGGTGTTCCTTCACGTCCTTCGACCACAGAGAAGAAAGAAATTGCTGATAAGGAAAATGGTCTTTTGGACAAAAGTATGGAAAGTATTTGTGAAGAGAATGATAGTCCTGCCGATGGATCTCCTGGTGGTGATAATGTTGGTAACAAGGGCGATGTGTTATGTGATGCTCCAGAAAATGGAGAAATGCAGATTGATGCCAATATGAAATCTGCTATCAAACAAGCCAGTTTCTTGGAGGAAGGAACTTCGAGTTCTGTGGGAGTAAAGGACATCAAGGAGGAAGATCTTTCGGTTGCGTTGAAGGGTAATTTCAAACTTGTTAGTTGAATAATTATGAAAAGGTTAAATAGAAATAAGTAACATTTAATAAAAACACCCCCATAAGATTGATATTTACTTAATGTCTAAAATTTTGAAATACTGGTCTTTTCGTGATTAGCCTGAACTGGGGGTGGGGTGGGGAAGTGGGAGTTTGTAGCAAAACTTTTTTCGTTAAACTGCTGTATCTAGTTATTTCCTAATAATTTACTGTTGTGTTTCACTGTAATTCTCTTTATATAACGCTCTATTGCTCCTCCATCAGGACCTGATTGTGCTGTTGCTGCTTGCAAGACAGTACCAACGCCTAGTCAAGGACTCCTGGTATGTCAAGGAGTATCTTATGTAATAATGACTCGTTGAGAACTTGCGATTCACTTGTAATTGTACGTCCTCATATATCCCGCTTGTTTCATGTGACTTTGGTATGTTGTATTTTGGTAATGTCTTTGTGTGTGTATATATATGTCGGCCGTACATTTGATGCAGATATTTTAACAAAGATGGTCATTTTTTTCTTACAAATCCCTGTAACCCTCTGCAGGAGAGGGAAGAGGCCGAACTATCCCCAAACCGAAATCACATGGAGATCGATTACCCGTTATCAGCAGATAACGATACCAAAGAGGAAACGACTCTTTCAGAGAGTGAGAACGTTGTATCTGATGAGAGTGAAGGTGAGGCTGATGGAACAGAGCAAATTGCCGATCATTTTGTGGGGAAAGAGAAGCCATTTGCACTTAGGGTTGCGAGGGGGTTGCGTGGTGGAGTGGAGAGTTGTGGAGTGTTCTACGGAAATGACTCTTTCTATTTGCTCTTCAGGCTTCACCAGGTGATTGCATTCGTGCTTGTTGATTTTTCTTTTTATCATTACTATTGTTATTATTTGTTCTGAATTTAAGGTTGTTGATTTGTTTGGGCAGTAGTATGGTGTTTGTGATTGGAATTATTAGGTGTTCGGTATAATCGTCGAGTTCAACAGAGTAGATGGAAATTTTGTGCTGTGATTTAAGCTGTGACAAGACTAGTTTCAAATTTAGGTATAATTGGGAAAACTACACTGAGGTTTGGCCTTGCGTAAATTTCAAACTACGAAAAAGAGTTTTTTTGTAAATTTCGAAAGATAGCTAGGGCTTTTAATGTAATAGAATCTTGAATCCTATATTTGGTAATTGGTTCATAATGTCTATATCTTAACTCACTGTCCTTATTCAACAGATGTTATACGACAGAATGATGAGTGCAAAGTTACATTCCTCATCATCTGGCAACAAATGGAAGATTTCAAATGGTGCTAATCAAACAGATTCATATGCGGGGTACTTTATCAAGATGCCGTTGTCTAAGTTTTTGTTTCCCGATTTCACATACAAGAGCGATTAACTTGAAAAAAAAAATGTATTTGAAACAGATTTAAGAATGCTCTTCGTAGTCTGCTGAATGGTTCCTTTGATAATGCAAAGTTTGAGGACGAGTGCCGAGCCATATTTGGAGCCGAGTCATATGCCTTTTTCACATTGGGCAAGCTCATACACAAACTTGTCAAACAGGTTATTGCTTTGTATTTCTATTATCTGTGTTCCTCTTTAAGTACTTTTTTAATATTTTACTGTTTCCAAAAAGCTCACGTATCTACCCGTTATTTTCCACCAGCTACAAAGTATTGCATCAGACGAGATGGACAACAAACTTCTTCAACTCTACTCATACGAGAGATCGAGAAATACTAAATTGTTCTCTGATGAAGTTTACCATGTCAACGCCCGTTTTCTTCTTCCGAACGACAACTTTTACCGGATAGAATGTGTAGGTTTTTTTCTCTCTATATGTTTCTGTTTCTCTTCAGTGGGAGCATATTGAAACGTAATCATTCTTCCAAACAAAACAGGCTTTAAATGCATAGTGTATGTCCTATATGAGCTCGAACTATTATTTCGTGTGCAGTTGCATTGTCCAACGCGTCTTACTATTCAACTGATGAGAAACGAACATGAGAAGTTTGAACCAATTGCTGTTTCAATGGACCCCGAATTCGCAGCTTATTTGAAGAATGAACTATTCATGGTTGTCCCCGAAAGAATTTGGAAACTTGGGTTGTACTTGAAAAGGTATGCATGAGACCGAATTCATTTGTGCTTAAATTTCTAAATGTGTGACGTGCATAAGTGTTCATTGTCGTGGCTCGATTTGCAGGAACAAAAAGAAACTCTATAATGCAGATGAAAGTTCTGACTTTGAGAAAGCCATGGAAGGATTGGTAATCCACAATGGTGTGAAAATGAAAGTGAATAGCCTCACAAAGAAGGTAATTCTGCTGCTCTGTGTTCACTCTATTTTTTTACTAGAGGACAGATTTACAATGTGACAATTATAAGAAATACCCATGAACAGTGACTTAATTACAAAAGAAGAAAAAAGTGCAATGTGCAAAAAATGAAGCAAATATCAAAGAGATATTTGTAAGTTGCCAAGATAGTGTTTTTCTTTTTCCCTTTTCTAATTAGGCTAATTCTTCTAGGGCATATTTTGTTATGAACCTTATATACAATATAGTTATGCAATTTGACTAACCCTTCTGTCCTTTTCGTTTTTTACCCTTGGAATTTCTTAGGTCGCCTATGTTTTGGCCACAGAAGACTTCATGTATCGGACGAAAGGAAGAAGGCGTGTTTTATATCAATAAGACCACCGCCAAATGGCTCTTCCAATGGCAACTCGCAGATCTTCAAATGTTGCAAGTTGGTATTTAGTTGAAGTCAAAAAACTTTTTTATCTTTCAGCAGCTGTGGAAGTGTTTGCTGTTTTTGCTCAATCATATACAAAAACAAGCTCTCAACAGTTAGCATATTCTGGTGTATAAATCTTCTTATCTGACGCCCAGAGGATTTGAGTCGTGTTCTTAGTGAGAAGTAGACTAGATTTACTCTCACAGACTTTAATCTAAAATGACCTTTTGGATTCGAAACAAAAATATGTAACACCTCCAACTATAGTTCAGCAATCGAGGGATGTTATCTAGTATACAGGCATTGTTTTAAAAAATAATAAAGATCGCCATTTTCAGATTGCTCGCGGATATCCTCGCCATGGTTGTATTTAAAGTCATTATGATTGATTCACGAACTTTCAATTTTGGAACCCTTACTCATGACTTTAAGAGGGTGTATTCAATTGTGATTTCTAAAATTTTTTAAAGACTTGTGATTTTATAAATCCTGTTGTATTTAATTTAGATTTTTAAAAGTCGTGAGGTATTCATTTGGGATTTTAAAAGGTCTTACAAAATTTTGAAGTATTTAACTTATTTAAGACTATGATTTTTTAAGACTTTGAGATTTGATGAGATTTTTTTTAAAAAAAATATATACGAAATTTCACACCACCTAAAAATGACTTTTAAAACTTGTAGAAACAATGTTGGATAAAAATGGAATTAAGAATCAACTATGATAAACGAGTCAGAAATTATTTAAAAACAAAAAACAAAATCGGATAAAAGTGGAATTAAGAATCAATTATAATAAATGAGTCATAAATTATTTAAAATAGACACATAGTGTTATTTTATCTCAGAACGTTGAGCTTGAAACTAGGGGTGTATTCAATTGAGATTCTTAAGGATTTTTTAAAATTTTTTAAATTCGGTGACTTTTGTGGACTTTGTAAAACTTTCTTGATTTTGGTGGACTTTTTGAGACTTTCATAATGGAATTTTTAAACTTATTAAGACTTTAATATACTTGTAGTTATAATACTATGTTTGAATGAAACAATAATAAATGTAACATAATAACTAATATCAAGAAGAATAAATGAAAAAAAAAATATTTTACATATTAATTCTCTAAAGAATTTATTAATTAACTTATTGTTATGCGAAATGAGTTTATTTTCCAAATCTCCCTTCGATAACAACTAACTAGTCCATGCCTTTAGATAAGTCCAATTTCCAAATCGCCGCCCTTTTATTTTTTTCTTTCAAAGTTTGAGTTGTATGTGTTGGGAGTTTTTTATTGCTTGCTATAAGAACAGGTTCTGTTGGCATTTATTATTAGACAAGCAGTAGAAAAACAAAACTTTCTGCTGATTCCTTCCATGTAATGATAATGTTTCGGCATCAATGTTTAATTATAACAAATTCAATACATTACATATCCAGTATATGAATTGCAGTGGCCTATTCCCTCTGGTCTTGATTTTCGATCCAACAACTTCGCTCATTTGTCTCGATATAATTTTAATTTATTGCAAATTTTTTTAAATAAAAGACAACAAAACAGTGAATCATTGAAAACAGAAAATGAGAAATATGAATACAATGTCTATTGTACTACGATTCTGCTCAAGTGAAACAAAAGGCTACTATTCCTTAGGAGATTTGGTTTCCACGGACCACAATGGGGGACGGAGTTTGTAGTGTGGCTCCGCTTTCTCCTTAACTTCATCATCCTCCACAACATCTTTAGAAAATGCATCAGGATTGGCCTTGATACAGTTCTGCAGGGCCACGAAAGGGTGCACGCAGTCGGACCCTTTCTCCTCTGCCGTGCTCTTGAGAAAACACACAAAGGCTTCCGAAAATTGGGCCCCACACGGCCCGCTCTTCAAGTGGGCTACGCACGGGCAATCCAAGGCCTTCTCATCCCCATACGCTGCAGCCTCAGCCATTAACGAATCGAGTGAAGAATTCTCACTGCTCTGATTTTCAGTCATTGCCACACTCTCCACTTGGCCCATCACTCAACCTACAAATAAAATGTCCGTTTCATTATTAGGGTGTTTATCCAAGAAAAAAGATTCCTGTAGATCATGATGATTTGGAAGAAAATCATAAAGACAAAAATCCATGCTAGCCTTAGAAGGATGTGGACAGCACAAGTTGGTAACTTGATATGTTGACATATATATTCACTCTTGCATCTTCTATGTAACTGCCGGGGCATGATGTAAGTTCTAATATTACAAAAGTATAGTTCAAACAAGAAATATAAGGCAAATAAGACAGGTAAGCACAAACAAAGCACATAACTCTCTTTTTACCTTAAGTTTATCCAGTCATGCAAATAATTCTAGGGCTGCAATTTAACACTTCTAACACAACTCAGCACTAAAATTTATCAACAATGAAGCATGGAAATTTGCATTATCTCTGCCGCCAATAAACATACATAAGCAAGGCAAAACTCGGTTTTAACAACTCTATGCTTAAACCCCTTTTTAACATCTTAATAAGGCTAACAAATCTAAACATAAACAGTTTAATAGCATATGATTTCAACACATAAGCTCCTGCCAACAACCTCAAATTAATACGGGTATCCATTATAAACACAACATAAAGGCCTTATAGCTGATCCAACTCTGCCAAGAATTTTACAGCCACAAAGCAACTATATAAACCGCATATTGACTGGTAAAGACGGGTATCCATTATAAGCAAAATTTCTTCATACTCCAATAAATAAATATGTAGGCACATTACTCCTCAACACCCCAACAAACCGCACAAATATAACCTTAGGCACATATTGCTCAACAACAAACTGTATAGGACAACAATCAATATGAGAGTATCATCGTCCCATACTTTCGGCATGTACTCTCCTCAATCCAAAGGTTCGAACATTTAACATGAACAAAGCCAGAATCAATGCAACATGCTTATAGGATTTCCCTCACACAAGAACCTCGACTTAGCATGTCAAGAAGCCACTTAACCACTGAAATTTAAGCACAACGGCTCTTACAGATGAACACAAACTCAGATATTCAACAATTAATAACACAAACAATTAACCTCAACTTATAAAGATCCAAACTTCACATAACCAGGATCTAAACTCACGAATTAACAAGAGGGGATTTACGAAATTCACCTCTCGTTGGGAAATTACATGTAACAAAGCGGACCTCGGCCACGGACGGCTCGTCGGTGCTCGGGCTGAACGGGGTTGGCTCGTCTCCGCTGCCGTGCACAGTAGACCTTGGACGGTTCGTATCAGCACGGTACAAGATCACGGCTCGTGGCAGCTGAACAGACGCGAAAGGTGACTAGCCTTGGCTTGCGGTTGCTGTCCGAGGTGGTTGCAAGCCTGTGACGGAGCGGACGGCGGTGGTTGATGCGTGCTCTTTGGTGTTCTCGTCGCCGGAGATCGCTAATTGGTCGCGACTGTGAAAGCCGGGGGCTCAGCGCGCGGCGGCTGGAAGCCGGAGGAGATGAGGGCGATTCCGGTGGGCGATTAGGTAGAAAATCTCCCGTTGCTGCGAATTTGCGAGAGAGAGTTGAACGAACGGGAAAAACGAGTTGGAGGGTTTGCGTGAGTATTTAACAAACTCTGTTGGGCTATTGGAAATGGGTCATTTGGGCTGAAAAAAATAATACATTTGGGCTGGTTTACTTAATGTTCGATTGGGCCGAGAAGAATGAGAAATTTACTCCTTCTACAACACCTTTAAACATTATTTGTAAAAATACGAAAGTCAAAACTTTTCTTTGTAAATACGAATGTTTTTAGTTTCAATTAAATATGTAATTGGCGGTTTGGGCGGTTTAGAATTATTAATCACAATCATCCTGAAGACACAATTAATTGGTCAAACTGGAACAAGAATATCGGGAATCATGATAATCCATATATTACCATAAAACAACCGCTAAAAAGAAAAAAAAAATTATTTCTCTCACCAAATCACGACTTTTGTGTTTCTTCACCTCATACAAGACGAGACAGAGAAAAAAAAAACAAATTCCATAGAACACTCAAACCCCATCTTTCTCCATAGATTCATCAATTGCCAATCGAAGAAAACAAGATGTCAATCATCAGAATAGTGAAGATGAAGTTTTATAACTCGCTCACTATCTCGTCTAACAACTACAAATTAAACTTTCGAGCATAAAGTCGTCCAAAAGAAGCTGTTCGCCGCCGCCATACGTTGAGCCATGAATCTAAGATGTTGCTCCAAAAATTTGATTCTCAACCGAGAGTCAAGCGAGACCACGTAACCATCCGCCGCTGCTAATCGTCGCATCGTCTTTCGTCACTCCTTGGCAAGATTCTCAATCGAGAGCCAAGAGGTATACCACGACACTCCTCCGTCGTTGCCGTCGCATTGTCTGTCGATCTCCCAACCCTTGATTCTTCTTATTTTCAACAAGAGTAATCGAGATTTGGTTTAGATTAGATATGTTTAATTGTACATGTGTCTTAGTTGTATCAAGTTTTGTGTTTATATATTGTTTATTTATAAACGTTACATAAATGGTATACAAAAGGTACATAAACGGTATATAAACGGTACATAAACAGAATAGCCGAACATCCACCGGTCCAAGTCGCCCGACCACCGGCCTCCGCTTGCCTCCATTAGCCTAAGCCAAGGATGCAACCGCTCTCCTATGAGTTTCTTGAGTCGTGTGTAATCCGCTAAGAATCTAAGACATCGTCTGGTCGTAGTCGTGCCGCAAATCGCCGCCCTCGATATGGAACAATATGAGTCTGTGTACAGATCAACTTTGAAAAGGACCATGATTACAATAATAATATACGATTACTAAATCGTTAGAACAATATGAGTTTGTGTACTAATCAACTTTGAAAAGAGCCATGATTACAACAATATGAGTTTGTTTACTTACTGTATATATTACGGTTATATACCCAAGAGGTCAGAAGTTATACCATTGTATAACTATATGGTTAATTTTTTGTTTATATGTTGTTTACTTATGTATAACTATATGGTTAATTTTTACCCGTTCATAATTGTTTCAGAAGTGTGTATTATGTTTTTCAGTCAATTTTCTTGTTTAATCATAAATTTACATATAAAAGACCAAAACATGGCGGGGTCTTATGAATGAATATTTATTATTTAACTAACGTTTATGTTAAGGTGTATCGACGTCCTGGCCTAAATCTTCTACTGCTCCAAGTGTTCTGGAGTTGTTTATTTCCAGTTTA